CCCCGCGGCGTCCCCCGACTGCACGCCCTGCGCCCTCCCCTCCCCCAGCCAACCGCACGCGTCCCCCCAGCGGTCTGTACCTTTACTCTGGGGAGGGTTCTGACTCCGGTCCCGGAGGACGTTGATCTGGTAGACGGCTCCGTAAGGCTCAAAAAGTTCTTTCAGCTCCTTTTCCGACCAGGACCGGGGGATCTGTCCGACAAACATCTTAATGGCATCTGGGTCTGGTTGGTCTGAGTGATCCAAAGCGCCGTTCATCTTGTTGGTTGTGCCGTTACTGTCAAAAAGGGAACCGGGAGCCAGAGTTAGGGCTGCACGGTGAGGGACAGGAAGAAAAAGAATGGGGGTGGGGGTGGGGGCGGGGAGGCGGAAGGAGGAGGAAGAGGAGCACGGGGCAAAGTGCCTAATGAGTCGTAGAAATTTGATGAACTAAAACAAAGCACAGGCACCATTAGGTTGCTCCGCGGCGGCAGCGGCTGCGGGCTCTCACTGCAAGCTGCTATTCAGCATCGCCGCCCGAGCACAGGGCAGCGCCCCGCCGGCTGTCACCCGGGGCGTGGACATCTTGAAGCCCGGCTCGGGAGGCAGCTGCAAGTTAAGTGCAGGTCTCGCTCTGCAAGGCTGCCACCAACGCATCCGCAGCGTTATCAGCCCCACACTGGCTCTCGTGTGCAAAGAAGGGCAGGGCTGGATTTCTGCTGGATTCTCCCCCGTCGCCGCCGCCACAGCACCCCCCCCCCGCCCCGCCTTTTGGAGGTTTTTTGGAAGAGAGGAGAGAGGTGGTAATAATAAAGTCACATGAAAAGAAAATGAAACACTTGGCAGCCCGTCAGATGACTAATGCAAGATGCTGGTGATGAATTTGCAGAGTGCGCGAGGCATCCATGTGTGCATCAAATTAGTACGTTGTTGCTGCTCAGAATGGAAAGTGCTCCAGCAGTGTATCTCGGAGCGGCGGATTGGCTGCCCACGCTGGAGAAAAGGACCGGGGCGGGGGCTCCCGTTTAAAAAGCACATTGTTTATGGGATCCAGGCACAAAGGGTTTAATTCAGAGAGGAAAAGGCGATCTCAGAAATGCCTGCTTTGTGCAGGAAAAAAAAAATGCAGCCCCAGAAAGTTGAGTTCCCACTAAAGGACACTGAATATTTCAAATCTTTCACACTCCATAAATTGCTCTCTGTATATCTGACTTCCAGATGTTGTACTTGAGTTCTAAACAATCACACGTTTGGGAGAGAAAAGAGAAAAGTCTGCCTTTTCTTCTCTTAGCTTCAGTAAATATTTGGGGCTGATACAAAGGCGAGACCATAAGCTTTTACATACCAATCTTCTTTAATGCTGTTTTCCAAAACCCTCATTTGGAAGAGAGAACGCTCTCATTTAGAATTCTGCCATTCTAGTCAACATCATGTAATATGATGATGAAGGCATTCATTTTTTTTTAAGATTTGGATCCCTCCTATTTGAGCTGCAATAAACAGTAAAGCAAAATCCCCTACTTTCTTCATTCCTCCCAACACTCCTTAATGCACCCTAAAGCCACCTACTCTGCCAAGTGACAAGGCTGAATGCCCTGAGCAGCATTCATTTGCAGTACTGTGTTCTTGATTTAACATCCCATCCTGTGAAAATAAAATGCACCTAAGCAAGTGCAAACCCTGCAGATTTAGTACTGCCAAAGCCACTCCCATGACCATGGACCAGCCCCCAGCTCAGGAGGCAGAAAGGTCAGAAAGGGGCCACCTGGACTTTACTTCACTGCAAATGGCAGGTGTTATTTCCCGGTAGCCTGGGGGTAATAATAGAAGATAGTCAAGGATCTTAAGCAGGGTTCCTTATTAGGTTAAAGACCACAATCCAGGACCACCAGAGCACCTCTAGTCTGCTGTGGGCCTAGCTAGGGTTACCCTGAGCCCCAGATAAAAAAAAAAGACCCTGGGTGATGGCTAAAAGACAAACAAAAAGCCTGCAGAAAGGAGAAATCCTGAATTCAATTTAATCCCGAGAGGAAAATGATGGCAAATACTCTTCACTAGGTCCTGGCTCCAATTTCCACTTCTTCTCATTCTCCCTAGTTTACCACTTAATTTTTTTTTTTTTTTATTCTTGAGATAAACAATCAGACTGTCTAACTTGAAGCACTTCCAGAGCTTTCTCTAATCAACCTTATTGTTATAAAAAATGTTCTGCTGAATAAAATTTTGAGTGCAAAATCTTCTTTCAACAATTTAGGTGCAATGTGATGCTTGTTTATGGTAGAGGTTGATCGTTTATCTTGTTCTTAGGCACCTATATACTTCTTTACGAATCACCCTGTGCAAATTCAGTGAACGCTGTAACCCCACCGAGCTGATTCTGGCACACTGGAGGTGGCAAAGCCCCACGCAGAACAGAATGTCGTGCTCACAGCTCGCTGAGAGCAGAGAGTGTGGCAAGATGTATTTCTGGGACAGGAAGGGCTGTGGTTACTGCTGCTGACAACCAGCTAGGTTGAAAAGAGGAAGGCACTGCTATAGGTCTCAGCTAACAGGGAACGGAAGTTCCAAAAATGGGGCTCTTGCATCTCGGCTCTACAGAGCACAGTTAATACAATGGAGGCGTTAGGGGACGGTATCCCAGTCCTCATGCCTGAACTTAGAGCAAGCCTCCCATAATTGCCTTCCCCGTAAGGGGCCTTTTTCGTTTCCTCAAAAAATACTCACCAAGGCGCCTAAAGGAAGGGAAGCGGACAAGAGGGCTTACGCCTCATGCCTTTGCTCTTTATGTTGGTAGGTGCATATTTATAACCCTTCCCCATCAGCCATCCTGCAGAGATGCCTGCAAGACTGCCGATCATCCTGAGGCAGTGGGCTGTCAGGGCTCGGGGCATGGGCTCTGAATTCCGGGGCCAGCCCTTCCGATCTGTGCCACTCTGGGCCTCAGAGTCGGGTGTCTGCTACAGAACATAGCCCAGAATAAGTGTCTAAGAAGCGTTGGCTTTTTCTACTGTTAAATCGCATCTTTGCAATTGTGATGCACTCGGAATGAGTGACAATTACAAATCTTCTTTTCAATCCCCAATTTTTCATAGTGGAGACTCAAACACAATTCATATCCTAAATAATAATGCCTATTCTTCAGTGAGGACATACATGCCAGATACTGTGGGAGGTGCTTTACACTCATTATTTCTAATCCTTGTAACAACCCTATGAGAAAATTTTATTTTCTGGATGCAAACATCAAAGAATTAAGTTCCTTTTTTTTTTTAAGATTTTATTTATTTATTTGAGAGAGAGAGCACATGAGATGGGGGAGCGTCAGAGGGAGAAGCAGACTCCCTGCCGAGCAGGGAGCCCGATGCGGGACTCGATCCAGGGACTCCAGGATCATGACCTGAGCCGAAGGCAGTCGCTTAACCAACTGAGCCACCCAGGCGCCCCTTAAGTTCCTTTCTTAAGGTATACTGGCTTATATACTGTAGAAGCAGAATTCAAACCTAGTCCCAATGGGCTCCAAAGCACGAAATATTTCTAATCCATCATGTGGCTGAACACTGTGCCAGGTCTCCCTTGGGCTGAGAGTGAATGGCTCAGGGTAAATCTAAGAGAAGACAAGGCCAAGAGCAAATCCTATTGGGTCCCTAGAATCACACTGTCAAATAAAAGGCAGCACTAAAGGAAACACACACACACACACACACACACACACACACACACACACTTTCTACTATCTATGAAAAGGAGGGGGCCAAGGGCTGAACTTGTGGCTCCATTAAGACTATGTTAAAACACACATTTTTCTCAATCATCACATAATAACGTCTCCATCTCCACAGATCTCCTTCCTCTCTCCATCCCCACAGGGTGACATCAATGAGCACCTCTCATCCACATCTACACATTATTTCCCAACTACCTGCCATTTTGCAAACAACTGTTCCAAAGATTACCATCGAATGCTAAGCGCATGACAATCCGTTAAGTAAATCCAACAATGTCTATTTCTTACACAAACTACCACAACAGCACATCTTCTCAATCAAAAGCTTCTGTGCAGCACAGGTGGTCCTAACGTTGCTGAATGCCTCACCGAGACCCTAATGGTACTACAAAGGACTGGTTAACTTTGCTCTAATGCAGGCAAGCTCCTCCTTCTTTGGACTCCCAGCTTTCTTCCTGGCTGATGCTTGTTTCTAGCAGAGACTTACTGACTTCTTTTGTCCTCAAGAGGCTGTAAGCGCTGACACTTCTAAGGAAGCCAGAAATTATGTGTCCAACAGTTAAACCTTTGGGGGTACTTGCCAGAGGCCACAGAGAGCCAATGTGCTCTTCACAGAGGGGTAATTATGGGAACAGATAACCCAAATCTCAGTAAGATCATCTATTTACTAGACTCTGACCTCAGGCTTAGAAAATTAGACTAGCTCACTTCTCTGTATTCCCTAGCCATCTTTAGCACCTATTACAAGGCAGGAATTAGATTCAAATTCAAATACTTATTGAGAGCCTCCTCTTTGCCAGAAAACTCTGCCAGGTACTTGACATACGATATCACAACAGCTCCACAAAGTTGGCATGATTATCCCTGTTCTGGAAATGATGCCCCTGAGAGTCATGGAGGTAAAGTGACTTTTCCAATGTCACACCCCTAAGAAGAGGCGTCTGCAGAATCTGGACACATTAAGATGTAAAGGCTAATTGTCATTGCTCAGTATTCCATAAACTGGGTTTCTCGAGGCTGAGGTTTCCTGAAGACTCAGTGGCCACGCGCAGGCACCGGACGAAAGCACATACTTCTCGGCTGGCATCTCACCTACAAACTGCAGGAGACTGAGCGCCAATTCTGCTCTTGCCGGCTGTAAGGCTCCTCCAGGACAGATGCCATATGGAATCGGACCATGAGTTAGAGAGCACCAAGCCAGCAAGCATTGGTGGTATCAGTCTCAGAGCCAAGACGAAAACATAATGATGTTTGGGGGGAAAAAAAAATGAGTGCGCTTACTTTTTTGCTTTTAGCACAGGCACTGACCTACTTCCCTACTCTATTTTTGCGTAAAGAAAACTAGATCAAAGGAGGACATGCAAAATCTTCTGAGGTTCCTCTAAGCAGTCAAATGTTACCAAAATTATAATAATTTTTCAACATATCATTGTTATTAATTCCAGGACAATAAGCTTTTATAAGGCCCAGTGAAGTGCAGGTTTCCTTTTGGAGAGTGGTAACAAAACACCGATGGTTCCTTTCATCTTGTTGCCTAGAAAGCAACTTTCTGCGTTATATCTCCTCTAATCTAT